CTGTTCTCCTCAAGATCACTTTCAAGGGCTGGTCGGTGAGGACAATAATTGGGTGTGCTTGGAAATAATGTCTCAGTTTTCTCGCGGTAGTGACCAATGATAAAACCAGCTTCTCCAAAGACAGATATCTTGTCTCCGCGTCCAGTAGCGCTTTGCTCACATAATATACTGACTTTTGCTGGTGTTCATGGTCACGAATGAGCACCCTGTTGACGATAACTTTCGATACGACTAAGTACAGGAAGAGCGTTTCTCCATGAGTTAGGACAAACAAAGTTGGGAGAACTCTGAGGTACTCCTTGATTCCCGCAAGGGCGTCCTCACGCTCTTGGCTCCATGCATTTTTCTCGGCTTTCTTGATGGCTCCAAAGAAGAACTTGTATTTGTCCGAGGAGTGCGAGATGAAACGATTGAGCACTGCTAACATCCCAGTAAGCTTTTGAACTTCTCTGATTGTTCGGGGACTTCGGATGTCCAGGACCGCTTGGATTTGATCCGGGTTAGCTTCAACTCCTCACTGACTCACCAGATATCTGAGGAATTTACGCGACTTTACTCCGAAAACGCACTTTGTAGCATTCAGTTTTAACCCATACTCCCGGAGGGTAGAGAAGGTATTGACCAAGTCCACCAGGTGATCACACATTCTTTTGCTTTTGACCAACATGTCATCGATGTAAACCTCCATGGTGTTGCCGATCTACCTTTTGAACATTTGATTTATAAGTCTCTGGTAAGTAGCTTCGGCGTTCTTTAGCCCGAACGACATGACTTTGTAGCAATAAATCCCTCTTGGAGTAATGAAGGTTGTCTTATCCTAATCAGGCAGATGGAGATGGATTTGATGGTAGCCTACCCTGGCGTCCAGGAAATCCATGCGCTGATACCCTGTAGTGGCATCTTTCAACTGGTCCACCTTTGGGAGGGGGAAGTCGTCCTTGGGACATCCCTTATTCAGATCAGTGAAGTCTACGCAAACACGTCATTTCCCCCCCCCTTTTTCTTTGCACAGACCGTGTTTGACAATCACTCCGGGAACTGTACTTCCCGGATGGTGTTGGCCTCCAAGAGTTTATCAACCTCCTCGTTTACCCCTGGGCGTGATGTGGCGCTATGTGCCGTGGCTTCTGCTTTATTGGCTTGTGGGCTGGATCAATGTGAAGCTTATGGATTATTACTTCGGGGTCCACCTTCTTCATTTTCGTCGCATTCCAAGCAAATACGTCCTCATTTTGTCTTAGAAAATCAATCATTTCTTCCTATTCGGCTACAGGCATTGCGGAGCCAATCAAGAAATACCTTTCCTCTTCACCATCTTCCAAGAACACATTTTTGGAGGTCATCCACTTCTGGATGCCCCGATTGTGATTGTTATTTTTTCAGGATCTCCTCCGGGGCATGCCCCTTCTCCTAGGTGAAAACCCCCACTCTAACAGCAGAGTAAAAATAGTTCTTGGAAGACGCTTGGTCCCCTCGGATCTCCATCACCCCCTCTGGGGTGGGAAATTTTAACTTTTGGTGGTAAGTGGAGTGCACCGCCCCTAGCACGTATAACTAGGCTCGCCCCATGATTACATTATAAGGTGAATCTGTATCAATCACGACAAACTCTGTGTTGATGGTAAAAGGCCCCGTGATGACTGACAATGTAATTTTACCCATGGGTAGGGCAAACGAGCCGTTAAATTTGACGAGGGGCATCCTAACCTTGGTGAGGTCCTTAGGACCGAGCACCATACGCTTCAAGGTCTCGGAGTACATTACTTCAGAAGAACTCCCGAAATCTACCAGCACTCTCTTAACATCAAATTTGCCAATCTTCAGCGTTAAGATCAGGGCGTCGTTATGGGGGGTGACCACGCCTGCTAGATCTGCATCAGAGAATGTGAAGTTCGACTCGCCAGTTTGAGCCCTCTTGCTGGGCTGGCCTCTATCTCCCTCGACCACCTTTCTCGTGAATGCTACCAATTTGAAGTCGGACTCAAGTTCCCTGGACATCGGACGCTCTAGTGGGCACAAGTGGATCACGTCTATGACGTTGTCTTGCACAGTAGCTGGAGTAGAAGCATGACCCTCTTCTGATTTTGGCTCAATGTACTCTTTCAGATGTCCGTCCAGGACCAACCTGTCTAGGAAAGATTTGTACACTCTACAATTTTTGGTACGATGGCCGAAGTCTCGGTGATAGAAACATCTGGCCTTCTGGTCCTGGGTGGAGGGATCACCCTGCATCTTAGGCGGCCACCTAAAGAACGGGTGATCCCTGATCTTAGGGATTAATTTGTAAATAAGCTCTTTATAGACGGTGTGAATCCCTTTAAAAGAACTTCCAGAGGGGGGTACCAATCCCTTTCAGGAAGAGGTGTCCTCTTTCTCCTTGTCTTTCCTCTTGGAGGTGAGGGTTTTGCCTTTACCTCCCCCCATCTCGTCTTCAATCTTAGAGTACTTGTTTATCCGGGTCATCAATTTGTTCATGTCTGAGGGGGTCTTCTTAGTTAAGGACCGGTACAGATCTGTATCCCTTGCCAGGCCGAGCCTAAAAGATGTGGCTGCCATGACTTCTGAACATCCCTCCACCTCATTGACCTCTTCCCAGTAACGGATGATGTATTGGCGAAGGGTTTCCCCTTCCTTCTGTCTGAGTGTCAGCAAGGATCCAATATCCTTGTGCCGCTTACTCCCTATAATGAACCGGGCTGAGAACTGCCTGGTTAATTCCTTCCATGACCCAATGCTGTTGGGAGGGAGAGTCTCGAACCACTTCATAGCGGAGTCTCCCAAACTCATGGAGAACACCCGGCATAGAAGTCGTTGGTCCGAGTGGTACAGGGACATCATTTGTTTGTATTTGTCTGAGGTGAGCTTCGGGATCAGATCGTCCATCATAAGTTTTGAACCTTGGCACTGTAAACTTTTTTGGTACCTCCATCTCCCGAATATCCCTGGTGAAAGGGGATTGTATGGTTTCATCATCTGCGTCATCCTGGACAACCTTACTCCTTCTTCTGGAGTCCAACTGAGCTCTAAGATCAGTTTCCAACTTAGGGGGAGACCCTCCAAGGTCTCCGTGTTGGTTGATGGGGTGCCCCCTTCCTGGGTGTCAAGTGGACAGGGTTGAGTCCTCCTCGGATTCCTCCACGTCCCCTTGCCTGGACAGTCCCTAGCAGAGGTCATCTCAAGCCAAAGGCCTTGCTTTCTTGGCATGACCATGCAGGGGGTGCTTCTTGGCTCTTGGACGCTTAAGGACCCTGGAACTTTTAGCTTTGTTGTTCAAGTGATTTCTTAGGTCCTCGATTTCCACTTCCCTGACGAAGTGTTCACGGGAACGGAACGAGTCCCTGGATCCTTCGCCTGAAGCTGCAAACTCATTGAGACGGCTGAGAACATTCACATTGTCCTCTTCTAACTGCCGTAATCGACCCCCAAACTTCTCCTCGATCATTTTCGCCAGTTGACGGGCCAATGGGGGCGGACTCTCCTGATCTGATGCCCATACTGGTTTGGCGGGTATACCCCCTTGATTGAATGAAAATATTTCTATCTACGCCATCAACTTGATCCTTCATTTTGGAACTAGAAGGAGCTTGCAAATCGAGGTTCTTCTGCTGGGGACTCTTCCCTTTCTGTCGAATATTCACCATAGTCACTGTTCTTTGGAAAACTAGTCATTTCTCACAGACAGCGCCATATTGTGTGCGTTGATTTTCGCACAATAGTAGAAGTAGGAACAGATCTCTCCTACGATAAACTGTGGTTCGACAAGATAATAATTTCGGCGGAATGAAAGGTTTGCTTTCAGAATCTCTGGTCGCCTCCGACAGAATTTTGACCCATTCGAAAGTGGGTTTTGGCAACAAGAAGTAGGTTGAGAGGGACAAAGATGAATTGTTTTTTGGGTCGCCTGGCCGGTCCTGAAAGACTGTAGGGGGATCTTGTGACACAAAAAAACAGGTTAGAAGGGTGCTGGAGTGCTCTCCGGCATATCCTCTCCGACAATCAAGTCAATTCTTTGAGAGAGAGGGAAAGAAGAAAGTACTGTGGTTCTTTTTAGAACTTCTTGCTTACCTTTACAATATGTTTTTGAGGTTTATTTATATCTTCAAAAGTTCATCATTGCTGATAATATAGCTAGTAGGCAATCATTAGAGATGGGGTAGTATACCCCATTTTCTTTAGTGGGGAATGCATTCAGCCTTAACTGTTCGGGGCGCCGAGTAATTAACGTTTTCCCCTCGGTCTGTCGAGTATTCAATGTGCTTCCCTCGGCGAGGGAACATTAAATGCCCAGGCAAGGGAGCATTTAATGCCTTTCACTTCTCGGCCCCCATGCCTTAAATACTGTCTCATCAAGAAGGGGATTCATTAAATGCATACTTGCTCTAGTCATGTGTCAGCAGGGGTACCTAGGTCTTTTTGCTACTGATTTGATAGCAAATTCCACGCGTCCACTCCTCCTTGGTTGTGTGTTCTGCATCCCTGTTCCTCCTAACACCATTAAGTAGAGCGTCTTCATGATGATTAGTCTAGCCTGCCCTAAGCTAGCCATCAGTCAATCATTATCTTTCGTAGAACTAGAGGAGAGGTTGGATTCAGCCTACAGAAGGAACAACTAGGTACGGAGGAACATTTGTCTACCTCGGGGGTCAAGGTTTTTATCGAATCAAGGACATGTGTTGATCACGCCGATGGGGGGGATCCCTCGGCTCCTAGTACTATTTCCTCGGCAGAGGGGGCAGAGGGGGTGACTGTCGCCGAGGACACATGGTCATGCTTGGCTGAAATCATAACGATGCCGAGGACACGTTTTGCCAATCTGTCTTCTCCCAAAAATGTCCCATCAGATGGAATCAATAGAGATGACAGCATCTTTGGTGGGTTTGAGATTCCACCCCACTGACCAAGAATTGACTTATATACTTGGCTATATGATCAGCCACAATCCATCCTTATACGAACGTTTTGTGACCATAGGTGATCTTTATGGAGACATGGAGCCATAGGAGATATTTGGGAACAACGAAGAGAAGTGTTGTTACTTCTTCACGGAGCTGAAGAAGAAGACGGCCAAAGGGAAACGATTTGCTCGCACGGTTGGGAAGGGGAAAGGTTTGTGGAAAGGTCAAGACAAAGGCAAACCCATTCAAAACCGTGAAGGAAAAGTTATCGGATACAAGAGAAGTTTAAGGTACGAGAATGTAGGATCGATTCAACATGGTCGATGGCTCATGAAAGAATACAGTCTTTTTTCTCCTCAGGATTATGTACTACGCCGGATTAAAAGGCTGGATCACACACCAACTACGACAGCTGTTTGCCAAAATCAACAGAATGAGGATGAACATATCAACAACAACAGGCAAAAAAAGGTCTCAGTTAGATGGCAGTGAACATATAGCAAACCTGATAGTTTGGTACCAATTTATGGGGAGGTAGCAGACACCCTTGATAGCAATCTTTGTTTTGATCCTGAAGGCCTGATGATTGAGATTGACAATGTGGATGGTTTCCTTGAGGACCTGATGCTTCACAACTTGGAATCTGCAACCATCCCTCTTGGAACATCGCCATTGCATATCAATTCAGAAGCTGAATCATCCATCTACAACCAGTACAGACAGATTCTTCTAGGCAATGGGTGTTGAGGCATGGAGGATTGGAGAAGTAGTTTGCCTGAAGACCCTGTGATTGACATAGGCAATGTGTGTTGTGGCATGGAGGATTGGAGAAGCAGTTTGCCTGAAGACCCCGTGATTGACATAGGCAATGTGTGTTGTGGCATGGAGGATTGGAGAAGCAGTTTGTCTGAAGACCCCGTGATTGAAATAGACTAGACAATGTGCATTGTGGCATGGAGGATTGGAGGAGTTTGCCTGAAGGCGTCATGATTGACATAGGCAATGGCTCAAGGGAATTTGAAGCCTTCGACAAAAGAAGGATGTGTTAATATTGTCGATTGTCGAGAAAGGGTGTTTAATTTGAACTTTTATTTTTGTTTTTTTTTACTGGAGACAGAGAGAAAGTGGATGAGAGTAAATATGAGTTGACTTTTGAATATTTTTTTAATTTCTAAGTTTTAATGTTATAGATTGGATTATAGACCCAAATTATTGCAATAAAAATTTTAATTGGATTTAATTTTTTGGGGCTTTTTCATAGGGTTTAAAATTTAATGAATTTAATTTTTTTTGTGGACTAGTGATATACTTAAAATTATAGGAGCTTCTAAAAATTTGGGGCCTAAAACTTATGTTTTTTTTGTTTCATACTGTTGGGCGGCCCTAGGTTTGCCTAATGATGACCTCGTGATTGACATTTTAGAATTTGAGTTCTGGATTGAAATCTACGATACACGACCACACACAGGTTCTTGGGAGCACTGAAAGTATAAACACAAGGCCGGTTCAACAGTAGAGCCCAAAAAACATGGACTTTAGGCCCTACATATAAAAAAGACCCAAAACTTTTAGAGGTCGATAATAAAATATAGATCAAATATAATAATTTATTATAATTAAGCTTCAAAAAAAAACTCTTAAAAGATTATGTCAAAAAAATAAAATTTAAAATTTACGTCCAAAAGTATAGTCCACAATTATTAAAGGGCAAAAAAAGGTTAACACTTCGATAAAAAAAATATAATAAATATCTCTCTCCACAGTCGCTCCCGCCGCCATTCTATGCACATCATTGTTTCTGCCACCCTTTACCATCACCTTTGTCACCTGCTACCACAAATTCGACTAACGTAATTAATTTTTCGTGTGACCTAAATGATCTAAGGCAAGATTTAATCATTTTTAATTTTGTGATACAATTGTTATACATGGTGTCAATACTATATTGTAATTTATTCATGCATTTGAAAAAGAATCTAATATTCGTATATTTCAATACCTCAATTCGAAAAATGTGTGTGAGAGAGAGGGGGGAGGGTTTTAGTAGTTTGATCTATACTACTAATAAAAAAAGTTAAATGAAAATTTTTTGACCGAATATTATATCCTTATCAAAAAGATAAAAGACATCTAGATCCTTATGTATTTAATTATTCAATATTAATTAAATATGCAAATAACCCTTTATATACTTCTATTTCCACATCAATATTTATATCTATATCTCTACCTTTACTACTATAAATTATAAGATATAGTTCAAAACTTTTGATTTCCTTTTTATTTATTATTTATCGTGATTGTCTTAGCGCTAACGTTTTTGCCCATTCACCTATTTAATTATTAATTGTATTGATGATTGAAACACTTTTTTGTTTTCTCTTCGTATTTGTTGCTGGTTCGATAATTAATTATCTTGATGACTAAACCTTTTATTTCTTTTCTCTCCATATTAAAGTTTTATATTCTATTAGTCATGATAATCAATTTATGATGAATTCAAATTCATTTTACATTTTATGAGTGTTTGAGATTTTTAAAGTCTTGCAATTTAATGTTGTTTTTTGTTTGGTATCTTATGAGTAAAATATTCTCATTTCTCAAAAAGAGGAAGAGAGAATATAGTAATAAATTGTCTTGCCATGATATTAGTTAAGGATAATAAACAAAAAATAATGACTATTATCCATCGACTTCATCATTGGTTCTTTTTTTAATTTTAACATAGATCATTGTAAAGATTTGGATTCGTAATTTCACTAATGTGTAATCTTCACAATCTCAAAATACTGTTCGCGTGCAACAACTAGTTTACACTAAAAGACAACTTTTCTATTGTAAAAAAAAAAAGGTGTGACCCATTCGTTTATCAATTTTTTTTTTTTGGGGTCAAATGTGACTATTCCCTAGGTTTTTGGACTTAGCCTTAACATTTTTTTTGTTAGAACTTTGACTTTTATGAGGCTTTCTTGTGTGACTTAAACTTTTACAGGCCTAGAATTTTAATCTACCATATTTTAGAAATGTAAAAAATCATGCTCTAAAATTAGGGCCTAAAGCAATGGCTTTGTAGTATGTAAGCGGTGAATACTGAATTTTATACTTTATCATATCAGAAGTTAGATATAGTATCGTAAATTGAAATAAGTCAACTCATCTTTGAGCGAGTGAAATCATTTGGGATTAGCTCATGCTTAATCTTCTTCATTTGATGCGATAAAATCTCCTTCAAGAACTTAACTCTTTTGACACGAGATTTTTATCACTGTGAGTCGAAAAGAATGAGGCAGTGGACATAATGGTATTTGATAGTGCTCAAAATTACTATGCCCAAGTGTAGAACAGTGACTATGTGAGGCTTAGTAGAGACTTTGTGAATATTGGCTCAATAAGAAAGTAAGCGTTGATATTGGATCAAATAATAAAATATAAGTGATTCACCTTAGCTAAAAGACTAAGGTTATATCTACTGTAACAAAGGCTCTTGCACCTTGAGATTTGTATTGCTTAAAGTAGAAGATAATAATTACAGTGGGTTTCTTGGCTTAAAACTTTTCTACACAATGCCTTTTGGGTAAAATTTTGAAACTCTTTCACATTGTACTTTTGTCTTCTATTTATATATGTGGCCCTCAAGAGTTTTCTGCGATTTTTTTATTTTTTTGATTAATTCTGTGGTCACTTCTTCCTTTGTCTTGTAGTGGTATCTGCCACCCTAACGCATGTTGTACCCACCATCCTCAAAACGATATGTGTACAAATATTCCCTTTACCAGGGGGTGTTTGTTCGTTAAGGACTCCAAAAGTTATCCCCTGAACTGAACACGTGGCATGTTGAGAGTGGCTTGGGATTTATCGCCTACCGAGCTCTTAGTTCATGAGCTGGTCTATTCCACCGAACTTAAGATGACCGAGCAGGCATATACCGATCTAGATGTCATTGAACTTTCTTCCTTGGGTTGTGGCCCACTCTTATGACGGAGCGGGCATGCTGTGAATGAGCCGTTTAAGTTGTCATATAACCAGGGGGGCCTATTGGGTGTTTTGTGCTTCGAATGGACAGTCCAAGCCGAAATCCATCATCATCAGTATTCAAGTACTGCCTCGTTTGGTCGTCTTCAATCTCGACTACACTCTCTGGCCTTTTTACTTGTAAACCAATTATGATATGCATAATTTGTTCCCCTCTCCTTATCCATGCTTTTTTTTCCTTTTCTTTTTGCATATTAGAGAAGAATATATCGTAAAATCTATAAGTTTTAATATGGTTGAACGAAAAACTAGTCGTAAATCCATTGAATTCATTTTTCTATAGTCACAGAAATTCTAGATTGAACCAATGCATCATGCACTTGGTTTACTGAAAACGATACGTTGTTGGGAAGATTTTTATCCAAAAAAAATTGTAAAAAGCAAAATGGTTGTGGCAAACCAAATCTAATTACTACATGGGTGTTCGAAATCTCAATCATTTTGCAGATTTGGTGAGCAATCTCAATTGATGGGCGGGAAAAATAAAAATAATGCATGGGCTCAAGCTGACTCGACAATGGGACGGGACCAAAAAGGGATGGGTATGGTGCAGCTCAAAGCAGTGGTCAGGTGACAGGTTCCTTACAAGAGAAGACAATGTTTTATATAAAGAAATAAAGCCCCATGGTAATGGTTTCCTTTCTTGTAGGCTCTCTGTGTTACAATAATGCTATTTATGTGTCATATAAATATTTATTACTTACGGAAAAAGAAATATTTAATTTTAAAAAATAATCGTAAATTGGGTTAATGAATTGCATCAGATGAATGGATTTTAATTGCACCAGCTTTCATGTAAATCTTTATAATATAAAAAAGAACGGTTTCAACAAGTTCATCTTACGATTTCAAATTTATTTATTTGACGGTCAAAAAATTACCATTTTTTCTTTCTAACTGGTCAATGATTACAACTGATCTTAGAACACATCTTACGGTCTTAAATTCATTCATCTAGCGGTCAAAAAATTATCATTTTTTTCCTTAATATTTTTCCTCCTAATCGGTCAACGATTACAACTGATCTTAGAACACATGATTTTCTCTGACATAATAATTAAATGGATTAAATTTACTATTAATATTATCTGTGTAGTGTAACATTTTGAATAAAAAAACTCAACAATTTAACAAATAAAAAAAATAAGGGCGTTGCTTAACACATTTATATTAAATATAATTAATTTTAATTTTATTTATTTAATTGATTATTTCAAACGAACATGTCTTACGCATATCTTGAATTAAAAGTTCAAGACTAATTTTTTTATCTCTTAAGAAAATTCAACGTTATTATATTCTTATAAATTAATAATTTTGTAATAACTTGTACTATTTAAAAAAATAATATTCTATAAATGATATTTGTAGCTTTTTTTTTATAAAAAACATTTTGGTGATATGTTCTTTAATAAATTAGAATTTTAGTTTGTATTAAATTTGATTCGATTTTGATTACAGGTATATAAATTAATATTCGATTTTGATTACATGTATATATAAATTAATATTTTTTTAAGTCAATTCTATCATGTTTCATAAATTTATCTATAATACCTCTAATATAAAATAAGACGGCTGCAACAAGTCCATCTGACGGTATCAAATAAACTCATCCAATGACCAACAACATCTCTCTCAAAATTATTCAGATTGAATTTTATTTTCCTTTTCTCACTCTTCACTCTCTCTCTAGGGCAGTGGCAAAAGGAGGAAGGGCTTGGGGCCACCCTAAAAAAAATTTTTTTTGGATTAATTGGGCCCACTGTAATGATTTATAAAAACAAAATTAATTGGGCCAAAAAAATATTTTTTTGGATTAATTGGGCCCACTGTAATGATTTATAAAAACAAAATTAATTGGGTCAAACAAGTTAAGTACTATAACAAAAAAAATCAAAAAAAAAAAAGTTCATACCAAATCTCTTTTTTTTCTTTTTTCTTTTTTTTTTTTTCCTTTTTCTACACCAAATCTCTTAAAATTAACAAATCTCTTAAAAATAACAAACTAAAATTAATTATTTAAGAGTGTTAGTATGATTTGTTGAAACCTTATTTGGTTAAAAAATTAAGGAATATATAGCCAAAAATGAGTAAAATATGAAATTTGTAAGAAGATTAAAAATTATAGAATATTGTTTCTATTTTGTGTCAAACAAATTATATAATTGATCCTTGATATATATATTTTATCTTATTAATTTTTTTTTCAAACAAACCCCTTCTATGTTAAATGAATTATTAAGTATCAAATCCGATATAAAAAATATAAAAATATCTCATTAGTTTTATCTATTATATTTAAAGTGTGTCCACTCTAGATCATATTTTTAGTTCCGCCACTGCTCTCAGGGATCTTCACTCATCACTTCTCAAAATTAATTGGTTAGTTTATGTTGCACTGTGTTTTCAGGTAGGAGTTATCCCTAGTTTATAATATAAAAGAGAACACGTTTTAATAATTCATTCGACGGTTTAAAATAAACTGATCTACCAGATACTAACATCCCTTTCAAATCTATTCACATTGAATTTTCCTTCCTCTCAAATCTATTATTTCTTATATATTGCCCCGTTCCTTCAAATACAAATTAACCATGTTATTTTATATTTGAAACAACTATTATAGTGACATTCTTTGTGGTATGCAATAATTGCATTGTACCACATGTTTTGTACTCCCAATTTTCTCATTGATAATAGTCAAATCACGATTCGTATAAAAAATTGAAATCTTAAATTTAAGAATTGTGAATCGTAAGATTCAATATAAAATTTGAACAAAAATAAAAAAAAAAAATATTTATATATTTAAAATAGGTAATATATTGAATATTAAATATTATTGGATTTTAAAAATAAATAATTGATATAATCACGTTGTCTAAATAGAAAGACGTTACACTTTTACTTTATTTTCATCTTTTTTTTAACCATTTTGAAATTCAACAATTTGAAAAAAAAATCATTAAAGAACCATGATTATTCAATAATCAAAACAATGACACCCGCTACAGATTAGATTATAAATATGAATAAAAATAAACAAATAATAAAATTAATTGGGAGAGACATACATGTCAACATTTTGAAATAAAAAAATTAGAATATAACAAACAACACATGAAAAAATTAAGAGCAAAAATCAATCGATGATGTGAGAGTTTTAGTCGTGACTTTGAGTTTTAGACAACACAAGACGAACTTTAGACAACGAAAGAGAGAAAGAGATAACAAGTAAAGAGGCTAAGTTTTTATTAGCGGATAAAACAACGTTATTTTCCAAAAAATTTGAGTTTTCAAAAAAAAAAAAAAGTGATTAGATTGTACAATACAAATTGAATTGTACGATTCAGGTGCAATTCAATTATAAAAATAATTCTCTTATAAGATACAAATCATTTTTTGTCTGTATCGCAATTGAATCATACGACTTGAATCGCAAACCTTACAATTTTGATAACTATGATCTAATCTATGAAATATTATTCAGAATTTTTAAATTCAATTAAATAGCATTTCAAGACTTTCTTTTCTATATTTGCGAGGATTAGCTATTGCGACTGTAATAATTTGGGTGAACTATATTTTATATCTTAATTTTTTTTTAAGGTTCTCACTTTTACACTATTAATGCATAAAAAATGATGCCAAAAAACCACCCAAAAAACCATAGTCCACCGTCATGAATGCTCGTCACCACCAAATCAACCACCACCCAAATCCACCCCATACGAACGCCCCCCAAATTCAAAATTTTCACCCACCACAACTTTACAGCTAATGGACTCCATTTTCATTCGAGCTTTCTCTCTGTCTTTCATGTTCACGGTATGGTATTGTTGTTGTGGGTTGGTGCGGTTGGAGAGAATTGGAGGTTGGTGGTTCAGTCATGGGGTGGGGTTCTGATTTGGGCTCGGCAGAGAGGGGACAGAGTGGAGCTCAAACCGGAGATTGGTGGTGGTGGTTTCAAAATAGAGTAATGTTATACTGACCAAATTTTGAGTCCAAATGACATGACAGTTAATTATTTAAAGTTTTTATTAGGGCCTAAGTGACATCATACTGATCAAAGAAGCCCAAATCACATACCATGTCATTTGAACTATAAATTTGCTCTCAAAATTTGATTAGTCTAACATTACTGTTCTAATATCCAATGCAATAGTGATACTAAATTAAAAATATGTTATTTAAAGATATGTTATTTAAGAACAAACCGAGTATACGAAATTAATCCATACACGTGTTCATGATTTTCAAGGGTGGGTCTTGACATGGGGGTACGTGTACATGATTTCCGGTGTCATTGAATGAATTATCATAGTGCTTTTGCAAGTAAAACTACCATACGAAAACTCGGGATTAATTTATGTGTATGATTTACAGGTAATTTAGTGCATCCAAGTTTTTTTTTTTGAGCAATGCATTCTAACTACCAAAAGGAGAACCAATTGGGCCTCTCTTCATACTCTCAACCGGGAGGTCTATTTTAAAGGTTGTATTCTACTCCTCTTTGTCCAACTCTTTGGGGTTCTATTTAGCTCTTCTTTTGTGTTTGTGATTCATTTAGACTTCATTGATATAATTAACGGGATTGTGATTCATTCATACTATTATTGTAATAGTGATATAGGGGACTTGTAAATTGTAATAGAGATTAATCGTTGTATGAGAAAAAAAAATTTCAGAAAGGGCATGGTCAGAACATTTTCCATTAGCTATAAATAAACTGTGCATGAGAATTTTATTTGCTTTATAACTACTTATAGGTGGTGGACTGGTACGTGCATTGGATAGAAGCTGACCTTTGCCAGAGATAGGTTGATGGAGAATTTCCTTTAGACAGTGGGAGTAATCTTCGAACCTCAATATGGATATTGTCGGAGGATGTTAACGAAGGTGAATGCGTTAATAACAACAATTGATGATGTGTACGATGTTTATGGCACCTTGGATGAACTTAAGCTCTTTACTAACGCTGTGGAAAGGTTAGTATGATGGTTGTGTAAATTCATGTTTAACACCTATGAATGATACATGTTTATGACGTAAACCTTAACCCAAAATTAATGGTTCAGAGTTGATTAGTTCTCAGCATCAGATCAAAGCTGACAAAATACGAGTGATAAACTAATCAAGTTAGTGTTAAATACCTAATATCCTGATTTTGACATGCCAGTTTTATTTACTGGTATTGTGTGAATAAAAATATATGGTCTTTTTTATGTGTAGAATTAAAGGGTTTTATAGTCAAAACAGAGGAGGTCCTTGTCGATGTTTCTGATGCACTGGTTATGCGTGTCCATTTGGACATGATATGATTAATAAATAGGTCGATTTCGTGTTTGATTATCCAACGAGATTAATTGAACAGATTGGGTCACAAATACTCGTCACAGATCAGAAATAAAACAACTTACACATGATATGATATGACTCAATTGATGTTCTTATCAAGACTCTTCATCCGCTTCTTAAGGGGGTTTGTCTGAAAATTGTGTTTCTGTATATGATTCAGATGGGACATTAATGCAATGGAGCAGCTTCCAGAGTACATGCAAATATGCTTCCTTGCCCTCTACAACTCCATTAATGAAATGGCTGATGATGCTCTTAAAGAACAAGGCGTTCACGTCATTCCCTACCTAAGAAAGGCGGTTTGTTTCTTTATATTTGTTTGGTCATCAGGTTGACTATCTATTTTGATGTAGCCACTGTCATGATTTACTAGGAGTTGCAATTTTTCAACTGGACATGTTAGTAGTACATGAATAATAACTGGTCGGATTAGTTTCAAGAATACATAATTTGATTTTGACACAACAAAATTGTTTAATTCGTATGAAATGAAGAAAATAAGAATTTTTTGACCAAATATCAAATCAATCCATGTAAAATCAGAGACTTTTTTATTTGGTTTTGCTTGCATATGGGTTGATTTAAATTTTTAATTAATGGGTGACATGCGTGGTAGGTTTTAGGTGAAAAGAAAAGAGACCTTAGTCATGAGTTTTGGTTTACAGATTATGCGTATCGATTCTAACATAACAATATAATTAAAGAGGTTGGGTTAGTGTCATTGTGTCCGAACATGTGGCATGCTTAATTAGGGAACTTGGATTATTTTTGTCCACAAAGTTAAAATAATACAATTCAAACACGGCAAGACGTGATTTGATAACATTGTGATTTACTATGCACTTTTAATGTTACAGTGGGCAGACTTATGCAAAACTTACTTACAAGAGGTAACGTGGTACGTGAATGGATATACACCTACCTTGGAAGAATACTTGGACAATGCATGGATTTCAATATCAGCCCCAGTAATAATAGTACATGCTTATTTCTTTGTTTCAAGTGCGATAACAATAGAGGCCTTGGAATGCTTGGACAAGTATCATGACATAATCCGCTGGTCATCAATGATTTTAAGACTTGCAAATGATTTAGGGACATCATCGGTATGCATCCCCTGCTCTTATCTATGTTTGTCAATAGATCAGAATTCAATTGATTTGAAAACTCTTATTAAAATCCAATAGGGATATTCAAATTCTAGTCACTAAATGAGTGTTGTTCATGTCACCTAGGCTCACCCTTAACTTCACTTGTTTCACACACACACACACACTCACTCATACACACACATATATATATATATTAATGTATTGTCATTTCTTTTTCATTGTCTAGGATGAGATGAAAAGAGGGGATGTGCCTAAATCAATTCAACGTTACATGAATCAGACTGGGGCTTCCAAAGAAGAAGCTCGCAAACACATAAGATTCTTGATCAGAGAGACACGGAAGAAAATGAATGTAGCTCGAGTTGCAGACTCACCTTTCTCTCAAACTTTCATTGGAATGGCAGTGAACCTCGGCATGATGGACCAGTGCATGTACCAACATGGAGATGGGCATGTTTCTCAAAGTAGCGTGACCAAGGATCGCATATTAGCATTGCTTGTTGAGCCTATTACTCTTCTATAAACAAATAAAAGTGTTGGAGGTTGGCGAATGAGGCGGTGAAGGTGATGGGATTATTTCAAGTACTGCCTCATTTGGTCGTCTTTAATTATCACTGTACCTCTAGAAGTTACAGACGGTTTTAAGATGATTTCAGGCAATGGAAAGAGGAAAAAGGATAAGAAAATTCCTGTAAAACAAGGAAAGGTTGGTCCCTTGGGGGTAGCTAGTTCCTCTAATCATCCGCCTCTGAGTAATTTAGTGGGGACCTGTGAAACTCGTGAAAATTTGAACTTTTTCTTAGAAAAGGCAGAGTGGTAATTTGTCATCTTAATGTGTATTTAAAATACTCATGTTCTAGACATCGAATGAGAAAACGGAGTTCACCATTGGATTCGTATCACAAAATCTAGTCACCCTGTCAAATTTCGTCGAATTTTGAGATAGTCGAATTTTTGCATGTCGTTCGAGGCGACTGTGAGACAAATGACATTTTAAAGGTCCCCAAAAATGATTTTTTTTAAAAATTGAATTAAAGTTCCAATAAAATTAATTTGAACTAAATCCGAGGTATAACGAATCGTTTCGGAATGAAAATTGGACCTGGAAGTCGGAAATATGCGGTGCAATTTGGACCACACATTAAGGGGGTGTAAATAGGGGTAAATATCTGAAAAATCAGATATTTTCACCCTCATTTTGAGTCTTGTTTGGCCGGCCATAGAGAGGAAAGAAAAGAGAAGAAAAACTCAAATTCTTCAAGTTTTCTACCTCAGATCTTTGAAATTCCGTCGCTCGAATCAACTCGGACCAACAGCTAAAGTTCATCTCCTCGATGAGGGTTACGCGTACGTACCAAAAAGAGTGGGTTTCACCGAAGATCCAAGAGAAGACTTTAGGAAAAATCAAAGTTTTGAGGTTGTTTTGGTGTTATAGAAGTTCTCTACACTTCTATTGAGGTAGGGTTGTTCTTATCTTGGTTTTATTCCTCTCCTTTAGGGCTGTTTTAGGGCCGGTTTAGGGGCTGAAAATATGGACTGTTATGGACTATTTTGGGGTTGAAATGATGGAGCATTTTGGGTTAAAATATGGACTGCTATGTGGTTGTATTTTGGACTGAATTTGGGATTGTTTTATGGCCTGTTTAGGGGCTGTTTTGTGGCCGAATTTGGAACTGTTTTATGGCATGTTTAGGGGCTGTTTTGTGGCTGAATTTGGGACTGTTTTATGGTATGTTTAGTGGCTGAATTTGAGACTGTTTTATGGCCTGTTGAGGGGCTGTTTTGTGGCTGAATTTGGGGCAGTTTTATGGCCTATATAGGGGTTGTTTTGTGGCTTATATAAGGGCCGTTATGTGGGCTATTACATGAGCTATTTTGTGTTATATTGCACCTTTGTGATCAAGTGTATTATTGGCATAAAAATTGTGATAACATGCTTGGAATTGTGTTATGAAAATTGTCAATGTATGTACATGCTTCTGTTATATTGACATTGTAGAGAATAATGAGAATTATAAGCATATGATATAATTTTGTCATGGAATATGTAAAATGTATTGATATTGTTCATATGTCTTTCATAGCATATTGAATATGTTATAATTGTGCAATGAGACATCATATTACATATGCACGGTAACATCGCATCATGTGGGTGTGTGCATAGTTGTCGTCAACACCACATTTGGTGGATGATGAATGGACTCCATTAAGCTTGGTCGAAGACTTGGCCGAATCGCACAGGTTGCATGGTGATTAGGGTTAGGGTTAGCAAAGAGGGACTAAAAGATCCCTCGGGTGCAAGGCCTAGTGATTGAGATACGCACTACCTTAGCTTGGCCCATGAAGTGTGTGGGCGTACGCGGAGCCCTTGGTAGAAGTCCATAAATTTCGAGTAGGTTGGAGACCCTTAGTATAAACCCATGAACATCCATCTCATACAAAGACCCTAGGTTGGTAAAAGTCATTTGATGTGCAACATAAATGACAATTCCATACACATTAACACTTGCATGTGTTGAAGAGCTGGGAAGGGCTCGGGTTGATTTGCATGAGTGAGTTTCATCTCATTTTATGACATGACATGATAAATTCCATCATTGAATGCATATTCTTACTTGGGATATTGATGTGAATATGAAATGTTGTATGTGAGCATTACATGTGCACTTAGATGGGGAGTAGCCTCTGTAGGAATTACTCTACTGAGCGTGGCTCACCCAATACGGAAAAAACATTTTAGGTTCTGGATACACACCGGTGGACGGCCCTCAGTTGGATCCTCAAGAGTGAAGAGAGGTCGGATTGTGACTTTTAACCTTGGTTTATGTAAAACTATGTTTTGGGCATGTAATGAGTAAAAAAATTGTAACTGAGTTTATATGGGCTGTTTTAATATAATGATGCATCTGTTATTTGAGTATGGATAAATGGACCCGGTGTGGTCAAGTTTTACTTATAAATGGACCCGGTATGGTCATTGTGTTATATTGGGCATCAAATGGGTCTTGTTAATATATATTGCACAGGTTGTGTTTCGGGTAGAGCTCCCGTACAAAGAAGAGACTCTGTCCGAATTTTGTTAAATTAAGGACCCCGATAAATGGGTCATAACGGCGAGATATCGAGTTATGCGGTATCCAAGGGTATTCCGCGGGTTGATGGGTAATCAATGGACCCTGAAATTTTGGGGCGTCACAGGACCTATCACCCCTCTATAGAATTGGCTGGTTTAAAGTGATATATGTATCTCTATAGAATGGCCTGGCTTAAAGTGATATATATCTAGCTTATGGCTGCAACAATGGATATTCATGTTAAAGTATATAGTTTTATGATGGAATCTTTGGCCGAGGCTCCAATCAATGGCTCTCATGCCTTTGTTTTTCAAGTGTGAAAAAAAAAATACTTTGTTTGATGGCAAATTTGATGCACTATATACAATGAATAAAAAAAAATTGAATCAAAGATTGGATATATGCTGTTTTCCCTACTTTTCGACTGTGTTTTCGAATGTGCATTTGAAGTGCCACAACACAAAGGCACCGTTTCTAAATGTATTGGGTAGATTAAATTTGTCTGATCTCTTTTTCTTGTAAGAATTTGTTGAAATACACTGTTGATTGACTTCCTTCCTTTCATGTTGGTTCAGCTACCACAGCAGGAAAACTCCTTTGATTGTGGCCTCTTTTTGCTCCATTATGTCGAGCTTTTCCTTAAGCAGGCTCTTGTTAATTTTAGTTTCTTCAGAATAAGCAAATCTTCCAACTTTGTAAGTCATCTGATCTAATTCACAAAAAAACTTGGGATTTTAGTATTGAATATTTTCATGGCTATAGTTTGAGCTCCTCCATTTTTGGTTCTCTAGAAATTGGTGATTTTCACAGTATTTGTTTACATGCTTGACATAAAATATTATCGTTGTGGTGCGTTTTTTTTTAATGGGAAAAGATTAATTGTTTACTAGAGAATGCTGGACATTTAGAAAGTTAGGAGTTTTAATGTCTTAAAGGTATTTAGGCTTTACACTGCCAACTATATGAACAATAATAGCTCAAAATTTAAGGTACTGATTTAGAATGGTGTCTTAAATTTCTGCTCTTACCATATTGTATTTTGAAATCTATTAATCCATGAGATATTCAGCTGACTCAATGTCTAACTCAAAGTATTTGCATTTAATGCATTGTCAAGGTGGAATTCTATAGTAATATTTGTGAAAACTCTTTAAGCTGTTGGAATTTCATCAAAATCTGAAGTTACGCTATAAAGCTTAAGTCAAACTACTACAAAATATCCAAATGTCCATACGCATGTGTATGCAACAAGATGCGGGAGCAATATTTTTAGGAATAGAAATTGCAGCACTAGGCAATCAGAGTACAATATTATATTGTTTATGTGTTATCTAGTAGTAGTTGAATTACTATTTAAGAAACTGTGATGGTTTTTACATTGTGCATTTGTGTTCTCCTTATTTCTCTTTGATTAAGTTGTTCTGTATGGATGAGTAAGAATACTGTTAGGATTTGATGGTCCACGGGTCTCTGGTGTTATTTTCTTTCAAATAGAAGATATGACAAAATGATTGGCGTCGTTTTATTGTTGACAAAGCCATTTTTTTTTTTTTTGGAAAAAATGCATTTTGTCCTATGTGACCACTAGCGTTTCCTTGGTTTTAGCACCCTACTTGAGGTTTATCCTTTGCTTTGCTCATTTGATTGGATTGCAACATGATCTCAACAGTATCATAGCAAAGATGACCTATTTTGTTCTCAGAAAACAGGAAGTAAAAGTTGGTGATGAAACAATTGATGGATTTATCATCTCAAAATTTGATGAATTTTTTTAGTCGAAAGTAAATTGAGTGTTGTCCAGGGATTCATGAAGGCAACCACAAATAGTATAAATCAATCACACGGCACTCACCTGTTATCCATTTGCAAACGACAGTCTAAAAGATTAGAATTCTCAACCAGTTTATGATGTCTAACTAAATATTGGTGCTGTTCGTGGTAGTGATTGATTGCTTGGGCATTCTTGATCACCCCACAATTATAGACTGGAAATACAAAAATGTTTGGCAAATGGTCGAAAGTGTTGGCAAGAAGTAGTTTTTTTTCATATTTTTCAATTGAATATGTAAAACTTATGCATGCAAAACAGTATTGAGTATGCTATGTATATGTCCAAAAATTCACTTCTGAACAACTGGTTTGAAACAAGTCATGAGAGCAAAATTCAGAGAGCAAGTTGACAGGTGGGTTCCAGATAAGAGGAATTTTCTTTCAGCCAGTGGATTTTGATACAGGAGTTTTGTGACTCATTCACTTTTAGTCAAAGTAAAAATCTATGGTCGTCTTTGTTTTAGAAATTTTTTTGATAGTTATTTCTTAATCTTCTTCTGATCTCTTTTATGTGGAATTCCCTTGGAGGTTTACATATCCTTCCATTTTTTCAGCTTAAGAAAAATTGTTCTTGGCTGAAGAGGTTTCTCATAAACGTGCTCATATCACACAACTCATATATGAGATTGTTGAGAATAATACCCAGAAAATTCCCCCGTCTACTTGCGGAGAAAAATGTTCTTTGGAATTACCTGACACGGCTGAGGGGCACCCCAATATTGAGTTTCTTCATGAGATATGCAATTCACCCAAGGCATGTCGTGACAGTTGCTTCAATTCTAATGATCAAGAGATTGATATTACACCACTAGCAGCAACCCTTCTGGAAGGTGGATCACCCACTGATGAAAATTATCAGCGTATTGGCCAATGGTGTCAACTAATCGGTTTAAGAATGTCATGTCACCAATTGAGGTAGTTATTTGTTCTATCGTTGTGCTTTACTTTGCTCTTTAAGGAAAACAATTGAATAGCTTTTAGCTGCAGGAGCTTGAAGATCAGGGTTGTGATTGCTC